GCGTCAGTCTCTAGCTAGGACTCTGTTTAATAACATAAAGTTCAAGCCCGAGGTCTTTCAAGCCTTATTTTTAAAGGGATTAATGAAAGACAATCCTGAAGCGTATACACATATAATGAGAATTTAATAAGTCAGGTGTATCTAACGCACATGAGCGCACTTATGACACTCATGCGAAAGCAGGACAGGAGTCTGGAAACACTACAGACTTAGAGACCACGCAAGTGGATTCTCAACACCCTACCTTTGTTCTGGAGGAGCAGAATGATAAAAACATTTTTGCTTGGCTGACACAAAACCATGAGCTGAAGCACCATAATGTAGTAGACGCACTTAAAGATGCTAAGCGAAATGGGATCGCGCATCCTAAGCTGGCAACTTTAGTTGACAGAGTATACCAGTCATGTACAGACTGTGATCTCAATCAGATCAAGCGCTATGGGTTCGCACCGCTTAAGAGTGTGACTGAAGATGTTCCATGGTGCAGGGTCATCATTGATCTGGTTGACCTGCCCACGTCCGAGCACACAGGCAACCGTTACGTATGCCACTTCTTTGATGTGGCGTCACTGTTTAACCTGCTCTTTCCATTAAAGGATAAGAATACGCAGACCGTGGCAGAATTATGTTGCCAAGTCTTTGCTGACCACGGGTGGCCGGGTATTATGTGCACTGATAACGGTAGTGAATTCTGCGATGTCGTAATGGAATCGCTAGTACTCGTATCAGGCATATGCCTAACGAGAGGTGTGCCATATAAGCCGCAAACGAAAGGCGCGAATGAAACGCACCATAGAAGACTTAAGTTCTTCTTGCGTACTGTATTAACGAATGATGCAGACGATTGGCCGTACCACCTTAAGTGGGTACAAACACAGATGAGCAAGTGTGCTGATCCGGTTACAGGAACTACACCCGCTCACTAATTTCGTGGCAGATATAGTGAGCTACAAATCCCCTTGAACAAGGACGAACCTGATCACCATGAGTTATCATGGTTAGAGAAGGTACAACGTATTTATAACGTTGTATATCCTTGCTTGCGAGAAATACGCAATATAGCCTTATTGAAAAGGCAAAAGCGTTGGAACACTACCAAGAAGATAGCAGAGTATCAGGTTGATGACAGAGTTAACATCCGTCAACGTAATTCCGATGTTACTGTATTAACATCTAAATGGATAGGTCCATATATAATCTCTGTAGCAGACACTAAAAGTGGAACGTACGAGGTAAATAACCCCGATGGTTCTAGTGCGCTTAATATAGGCAGAAGTCGTATTCCGACTACAGAGATTAAACTCGCAAGAAGACATGAGTCTAATGTCCCTCTTGATCGTTCTGAATTTAAAGACATTATATGGAGAACAGATAAGGGAGGCTATACATACTATCGTACACGCTTTATAGAATGTACAATAGCTGAGTTGACTTCAGATGCTTTCGATAATCAAGACTATTTAAAAGCCTTTAATCGAAAATGGTGTAAACGCCTGCATAAGTCACAAGCTGAAAAAGATAGCATGTTTCCATCGTCTGAAGCAACGGAAGTTAAAACTTATCCGCCTACATCATTTATCCCGAGCTTTAATGCTCATCCTTAATATGTGCTTAAGACACTGAAGCGCAAGAAACGTCCAGTCGACCACCACGGACCTACTGGACCTAAGCCCAAAACTCACAAGGTGACCGAGAACGCTTAACTTATCCGCCTGAGAAACGTTAATTATATGTTATGCTACTTAATGTTTCGACCCGTTTTTCCTTTCTCGCTTTTTGACCCATAATCAGCTTGAATGAGCAACTTGCTTCTCATGGGTCTCAAAGCTGGGTGGGGGCTGTGTAATAAGCCGGGCTTCCACATTAGACTCTATGTTATAAACTTACTCTTAAGCAGTACGTAAATTATAAACTTACTCATAATAGTACGAGGAACTTAAGTTTCCTAAATGTACTCTTATTAGTACGAGGAACTTAAGTTTCCTAAATGTACTCTTAATAGCACGAGGAACTTAAGTTTCCTAAAATGGGTTTTAATGGTTTTATAAATTAATACCTTTTCCATTTTACATATCAGATATTTGGACGAGGCCATTAAAAAGCCTCAGTAAAATACCAAACATAAAGAGTTGGTCTAGTTCTATTAATAGAACTTTATTTACTTTCCAACTTTTTATATATCTGAATACTTCGGTAGCGAGATGGCTCAACCGAATATAGGTTTCTAGGGACTATTAACGTTACCTAGTTGATCCTCCGATCAGCCAACCAGATATGCCAGTCTGATGAAGGCTAAGTCGGTAATTCTTGATAGGTGGCATGTTATTGGTTAAGACAATAACTAACGACATCAAGAGTATTTTTTTATTTTTATTTTTATTTTTCTAAAGGTAGGATTTTATGAGTCTCTCGGATTCGCCCCAATGAATCATACCATAGTTTCTGATAGAGCGACAACGAAACACTAAATAAAATCCCTTCGGCGGAAGCAGTACTGAGAGGAATATATATAGGCTATGTCTCAGCCTCACAATCCCTCAGAGTATTGCTGTTTTCACGAGGCATACCTAACTTTACTAAATGTCTTATTTCGTTTATTTACTTTGATATTTTCACGATACTTAGAATTTACCTACGCGTTTATTTATTCTAAGGCGTTAATATCGCCTGGAGAGACCGAGTCTTACACCATCAGGCAGTTTGTCTGCTTTGATGGTTGTGTCTACCTTGTCTTGCTGTCCATAGTACATGCGTGCCTTGTATCTCGCTACCTTGAGAAGTTGCACATGTACTCTCTCCTTGTCCGTGTTTTGGAAGCGCCCCCCCAACACTTGCATTTTGCTATGCAATTGTTCTGTGCGCACCTATACGTTCAGTGCCTTGTTCGCCATGTCATTGAAAGACTTCTCTAACAGATGGTCTACGGGGTGATGTCTGAGTCTATTAATGATAATTCTGTTGAATTACTTTGGATCTGTATAGTGCTTTGTGATCTGCGTTTCTGAGTCATGTATCTAATTGAGTACCCCTTGGGCTTCTCAGTTGCGTCAGTGGAATCTAATAGATATCTCACAAGTGCTGTGTGGTACGCTGCATAAAATTGACTAAGAATATGTTTCTGCATTGCGTAGTATACTTTATAGTGTCTTTATAATTTTCACTTTGAAGCAACTGTCTCTTGGTAAATCCGGAAATTCCTGGTCTTCAGTAGTTTAGATAGTGCAGGTTCATTAAACTTATCACCTAAACTTGAACGCATGATCTCTAGCTCGCCAATGTACTGACTGATTTGGATTACTTCATCCTCTTCATTGTCTCCCACACTCATTGATAGCTTGGTCGTATCTCTTTCTGAGTTCTGCGTCTACCATGGGCATGCGACGTTCTGGTTGCTGATCGTGAAGACCTACTCGCATCTTGTGTAGTCTCGCGATAGCAACAGGTGCTGTTTGTTTTAATTGGACACGAACCTACTAGCCAGGAAGTAGCTGCCGTGACAAATGTTTTGTCTATTTCTATACGCATTGTTAATACCTGTATGGGTGCCCCACTAGGCGTTTGTTGGCTTGAGCTACCGCCTGGGGTCGGCCCCCCTGCTCGTGTAATAAGCCGGGCCTCCACATTTGACTCTATGTATAAACGTACTCTTAAGCAGTACGCAAATTATAAACGTACTCTTAATAGTACGAGGAACTTAAGTTTCCTAAATATACTCTTAATAGTACGGGGAACTTAAGTCTCCTAAATGTGCTCTTAATAGCACGAGGAACTTAAGTTTCCTAAAATGGGTTTTAATGAGTTTTTTAATTAATACCTTTTTCATTTAACATATCAGATATTTGGATGAGGCCATTAAAAGGCCTCAGTAAAATACCAAACATAAAAGAGTTGGTCTAGTTCTATTAATAGAGCTTTATTTACTTTCCAATTTTATTTATATCTGAATACTTCGGTAGCGAGATGGTTCAACCGAATATAGGTTTCTAGAGACTATTAACGTTACCTAGTTGTTCCTCTGATAAGCCAACCAGATGTGCCAGCCTGATGAAGGCTAAGTCGGTAATTCTTGATAGTGGCAAGCTATTGGTTAAGACAATAACTAAAGACGTCAAGAGTATTTCTATTTTTATTTCTATTTTTTCTAAAGATAGGATTTTACGAGTCTCTCGGATTCGCCCCAGAATAGAGCGACAACGAAACACTAGATAAAGCCCCTTCGGCGGAAACAGTACTGAGAGGAATTTATATAGGCAATGTCTCAGCCTCACAATCCCTCAGAGTATTGCTGTTTTCACGAGGCAAACCTAACTTTACTAAACGTCTCATTTCGTTTATTTATATCGATATTTACACGATATAGAATTTACCTACGCGTTTATTTATTCTAAGGCATTAGTATCGCCTTTATTAGACCGAATCTTACACATTTTAAAGTTAGTAAAAAGTAATAATTACTTCGACTACTTAAGCGTAAAGTTAAGTTAACTACCACAACATTTTTCTTCTTCTCTTGTCTAAGCTAGTCGTTAAGAGACAAGCT